AAGGCAAGGGGCGAGATGCGGCTCCCCGGCCTGCCTGGATCTGGCTCCTGGGGCTCCTGGCCATCCTCCCAGCATTGGAAAGTCCATGCTGGCACTTCACAGGCAGGATTGCCAGATTCCCCTGGTTTCTGTCCTGTAGTCCCCGTCCCCCCACTGAAGTGACACGCTCATAAAGCCAGGGCAGATGAAGTGAGGCGGGTGCGGATTGCACACAACACAGACTGTGAGAGCCGTGCGCGCCCTCGTGCGCATCCAATCACAGCGCCGCTACGGTTCCATCGGCACCCTCTCCCCCAAATTCTGGGTACGCAAGCGCAGTGAGCAAAGCTACCCTATCCCATCCTGCTGTGTGGCTGGAGCACACAAAATCTACTAGCCTGAGCCCCCCTGGCTCTGGTGTGTGAGGGGGATGGGGGAATGTCTTTCTCCTCCTCAGTCGAGGGCCACGTCAGGGAGGGTTTGTTTTTCTTTTTTGGGTTCTCCTTTTTGTGAGCAGCACCCCCCCCCCCCCCGGACCCAAAAAAGGTTCTGCCCCCCCTGCATTAAGCTCTGCTGAAGAGACGGCTGTTCAGCATCTGTGGACGCCATCGTGGGCACATGTTAAAGTGTGTAGGGAGCAGAGGACTCACGCCCAGTACCATGAGACCTGGCCACTGCAGGAGGAAGGGGGATGGGGTAGTGAGGTCTTACAGCTCTTAGGAGCCAATCAGGGCTAACGAGAGACTTCAGACCTTGGGGAAAGCTGTTTCCAGGCTCCCCCGAAGGGGCGGGGCCTCAGATAGAAGGAGCAGGGGTGGGGCTAGCCTCCCCCAGACAGCCCTTCAGTCCCGCTGGGGGCTCTGGCGGTGATTTAAAGGGCCTGGGATGCCAGTTGCTGCTGAGAATGGCTAGAGCAGGTTGGAGTCCCAGTCCCTTTTAAATCGCCAGGCCCCAGGCAGCTGCTCCCTTTGCCCTCCCCTGTTGGAGGCCCTGGAGCCAATATTTCCCGCCACTTGGGTACAGACATTTCAAGTCTACTGTGGGTCCCGCCCTGCCCACCTCCTCCCAACAGAGGGAGGCCTGACACCCCCAAGTCCACCCAGGGCTGCACTACCCGAATGAGCATGCGACGGATCCCAGGAGCAGCCCACAGGGCAGTGACCGAAGCGCACGAGCGACCGCAAGGCCTAAGCGATGAACGTAGGCCATTTCCAGTTGGCACGGCGCAGCTAACACCGGAGCATCACAGCTGGCGGACGTCTGCCAGCACTTGGAGGACAAGGAGGATTCACACAGGGAGAAACACGCTCCCAAGAGGAGAGCAGGGAGCTACCTGTGTACAGGACAGACATGTCTACCGGCTCCTGGAACTCCATGTCCATGACACGCTCCAAGAAGAGCTTGTCCTTCACGACGTAGTTCATATCTCTGTACACCTGGGGGAGAAGTGCCGGTGCTGTTGGTGGGGTTAGGAGACATAGCGTTGCCTAGGGCAGCCTCACCATGATGTCCAAATACCTCCGTGAGCCAGAGAGGAGAGCACAAGAACGGCCACAGTGGGTCAGACCAAGGGTCCCTCTAGCTCAGGGTTCAGCATCTTCTCTGTGACAGTGCAGAGAGACGCCAGAGAGCAGGGTTCCATTATGCTACGCGCTGTACGTGCAATCACAGCAAGAGACACGGTTCTTCCCTCCACCCCAAGAGGTTACAGGACAGCGGAAGCATGCACCCCATTTACAGGTGGGCACCACCCAGATTCTCAGTGGTATTTTGACTCCTAACCTCCTTGGAAATCACAGGGAGATAGGCGCCTACACACCTGGAAGGATCTGGGCTTAAGTGACTTGGCCAAGGACACACAGGGAGTTTGTGACAAAGCTGGGAACTGAACCCCAGGTCAATACCTGATCCTTGACAGTATCCTCCTTCCTCACTGGGTTCAGGGTAGATATCAGAAGGGGATTTTTTTCATTCCAAAAGCGACCGGCACGGGGCGGGGAGGGGTCCGCAGGGAAGGCAGCGGGGTGCTAGTGAACGGGCACTCCAAGGTGTTGAAGTTATAGTGTGCAAAATACACTGGGGCAGAGCCTGCCCTCAGGTCCCTGCATGCGACACCCCCTGGCTGCAGTGGGAGGCCCGTCTGAGAGTGGGGTTTGGCTTCTGAACTGCAGATTTGATCAGAGCCCACCTACCAAGCCAGTGGCTGGACCAGCATCCAGCCTGCAGGCGGTGGGGCAGTCAGCTGAGCAAGGGGTTCTTTGGAGAGGTGGGCCCCGCCTGGAGTCACTTAACCAATCCCTGCCCTAGCTCTTTGGGCAGTGGGACCATCTCCAATCCCACCCTGGTTGGGAGCTGAGCAACCTACTGACCTCAGCATTGGACACCAAACCTGGGGCTGTGACTGGTCACCCCCAGGGCTGTCAACAGCAACTATAACACTTTTTGCTCTCCTAACATGCAGTTCATCAGATAATCTGAAAGCCCTTCATGAATATCAATTAATGAAGCCTCAGAACTAAGGCCAGGTCTACGCTAGACCTGGAAGGACGGGCTAAGGTATGCAACTCCAGCTACGTAAAATACTCCCATTGGCTTCCCTTACTCCTCATGACTGTGAGGAGTACTGGCGCCAATCGGAGCCACCCTCGGCATTTGATTTAGCAGGTCTTAGCTAGACCTGCTAAATCAAACATCAGAAGATCAATCTTCGATGAGGCAAGTAAAGAGATGAATTAAGGGACAATCATCCTCATCTTATAGCTGGGGAAACTGGGCATGGAGGAGAACAGTGGGTCACACAGTGAGTCAGTCACAGAGACAAGACATGAACACAGGCGTCCCAGTTCCCAGTCTTTTGCTCCAACCACTAGTTCCCTCTAAAATCTTAGGGTGGACACAACCAGGCTTTTGGAAAGGCAAACAATGGACTCACATGTTCAAGGAACGAGCTGAGGAATCGATTCAAGGTGTAATAGCTCCTTAGTCTTTGCTCACGTAGGTTGACCCCGACTCTCTCACCCCTCGGGCCCTGCAAAAGAAAGTTCCCAGAAACACTTTCAGCTCACGGTGAGCGCCCAGTGTGCTGCTTCTGAGGAAAAATAATTTGTTTTCATTCAAATTTTCACTTTGGCAGCAGAGATATTGGCTCAATTTTCACCTACTGCTTTGGAGTCTTTGCTTTGCAAGGCACACACATACAACCGAGGAGTTTTCAATTATGAACCACATACGCCGAGATGTAGTTACAAACAGCTGCGCGGCCTGTTGTCCTTAAAGAAATGAAATCAAAGGGACTTGCAAGCAGGCACTTCAACTCAGGTGAGATTGAGTGATGCTGGTGACAGCTGGAGCCGTGCAAATCTCATCCAACTGGGATCATAGAAGTTCGGGAAATAGTATTTGCTCATTTGATTTGAATTCAAATGAACACACACCGCAGCTCAGCTGCCCAAGTTTTAATGATGTTGTGCATCAGAAACTGACTTGGGCAAGAACTTTTCTACCTCAAAGGTGGTTGCATCTGTCTGTACTTTCCAGCGTGTCACGGAGTAACACCAGTGAAGTTTGCCCCGGTTGTGGCTTCCATTTGGAAGGGTCCCACGTCACAACTGTTGAGTTTGAAACGGTTGGTTCAGAGAGATGGGACAGCTGCTAAATTCAGATCTGAACCAGGGTTTGGATTCCAGGAAGTTCAGCTATGTTGGGCTTTGGTTGTAATGAACCATGGACAAATCCGGCACCAAAATCACAAGACCCCTCTATACCACTTGGATTAAAGGAATAAGGCCCAGATCTTCAAAGGTATTTCTAACCTCCATTGAAATCCATTTGATATCTGGGTAGCTGTGAAGATGACAACAGACATAAGGGAGAGATGACCAGTCACCAATGCAGCGGCCAGTTATTAATGTGTTCCAAAGGGTTTTGCTTTAGACCATCTCTAGTTTGCCTTAAAGCTGTGCACCGTTCTTGCTAGGATATCTCCTAGACTAGGGCTACTCAGCTTTGGAAGCCCCAGGGACCACAATGATACTCACAGCACATGTCGAGGGCCACAACTTAAGCGTGGTTGCATATACATGCAAATATATATGCAAAAATATGCAAATAGCTTCTTTCAAACAATGCCCCAGTGCTCCCAACACCTCCTCCTTGGGGGCTAGAAACGCCGACCTCTTGTACCCGTCTGATCCAGCCAGCCCACCTGCTTGTGTCTTTCAGTGCTCACCCCACCTGGGAGACGCCTCGCCCTTGTGGAGCATGTTCCCAGTGGAGGCCACGTTCAAAGGATCCCACCTGTGGGTCGTGTGTTGAGTAGCCCGGGAAGCTGCAGCCTGGGACCATCCCCACACCTTGGCCTCTGGGGTCCCACTGGCTTTGGCAGCCCCGGGGTCCCACCATCCATATTGCCACAGGATCTGCAGCCTGTCATTCCCACAGTCCAGGCCACTGGACTTGGAGGCTGCGCTGCCACTCGGGGTCCTGTCACCGGCCCCAGGGTTCTGCAGCTGGCTCCAGCCGTGACTACAAGTTGCCAGCTCTCCTGGACTGGATGCCATTTGCTGTAACGGCATCTGGTCAAGGAGAGATGGCAACCCTCGTGTGACCCTAGCCTGCGGTGGTGAGGGGTGCAAACAGACGTAGGGGGAGGGGCGCAGCTCAGCACCCCCACCCTAAAAATAGTTCCAGCCCGACTGCTCCACAACTTGTGCCGTTAAATGGGGGTGATGCAGAGATGCTGAGCATTAAGATGATAAAATGCATTTGGGCAAGTAGAGGCTACTCCAGCTATTCTCTAGCATCATCACCGAGGAAGGGCTGGATTTATCGTCCTTGTTTTGTTTAGGTGCGATTACATTGGAAAGGGTCCCGATTGTCCCCCACACCGGCCTGCGCAGCCGATCTGGTGATAACCATCGCTGACCGTCACAGCACGGCTGCTTTCGTCTGCTCCTGCCTGAGAAATCTCGCCAGTGGAGGACTTAACACCAACCCTTGTGAAGAGGAGCATGAAAAAGCTAAGAGAGAGGCGTCTGCGTCACCCTGCACAGGGGAACATACCTCCACCAAAGGCTGCGTTATCTTGTCATACAACTGTCTGGCTCTGTCCGTGAGAAACACCTCGAAGGTCTGAATGTCAGAGTTGGCCTCCAGGCCTCTCCGAGGGCAAAGGTTCTCCTGCCAAGGGAGACAATGGAAGGGTCATCAGGCAATAATAAGGACATCTCAGCAGGGCCGTATGTCCCAAGATCCCACAGTCCTCTACAGTAGGGGGTGGGGAATCTAAGGCCAGGGGCCGGATGTGGCCCAAGCGTGGCTGGATCCGGCCCCTGAGGCTCAAGACTCCTCCTCCGCCCCCACATCAAGCCCGTGCTAGCGCTCCAGCCTCCCCTTTTGTGGGCTGGAGCACACAAAATCTACCAGGCTGGGCCCCCCTAGGCTCTGGTGTGTGAGGGGAATGTGGGAAGTGTCTTTCTTCTCCTCAGTCAGGGGCCACGTCAGTGAGGGTTTGGGCTTTTCGGTGGGAGGTTGCTTTTGTTTTTTCTTCTCACTGGCGTGTGGCCCCTCACTGATTTTTTTTGTGGGTCAATGGCCCCCCACCCAAAGAAGGTTCCCTGCCCCTGCTCTACAGAGTGACTCCAGATTCTGTACACGAGGGTCACATCTACCCACCTCTACTGGCAAAGACAAAGGCATTAAGAAGAGACCAACGGGGCAAATATTGCCTGCGGCACTAGGGGCTGCTTCTGACGGGTAAACCCTGCATGGGGTACGAGAAGGCAGCCCTCCGGATGCAGAGCCAAGCCGACTGGAGGAGGAGAGGCTAGGCAGCAAGACCGAACAAGGAGGCTGGATTACCTCTTCTTTCCTGAGGCAGGCATGCATGGCATCCATGCCCACATCGGCATGGCCGTGCACACTCCGCCCGTGGATGTAGAAGCCATAGCATCTGTGCGACAGGATGAAGATCGACACCTGCGGGGATGGAGGATAGGATGGGGAGGGTGAGTGCCTTGCTAATGACACCGCTGGAGGGCAAGCCCAGAAATCTGCAGTGTGCCCCCACCTCCTATCCTCCATGTCACCAATCCCCCCTCCTCCATGAACACCGAATCCACGGTGGACACACTGAGCCACAGGCAATGTGCAGAGCAGGGCGAGGACTCATTTTTGGTGACGCTACTCATGGTAGCGGCAGCAAAGGGAAGGAGAGAGAGTTCCTCAACTCACTTTCTCCTCGAGCTCAGACCAAATTGCTCATTTTCATTCATATTGTCCAAAGAGACCAAAAAAAAAAAAAAAACCTTTTTGGACACGTGGCAAATCCAAGAGTGAATCAAGATGCCAAAGTGGATTCCTCACCATGCCACCAACGCAGGCAGGACACAGTGATGGGGCAGAAGAAAGCCGCTAAGTTGTACTAGAATCATAGAACGCTAGAACTGGAAAGGCCCTCCAGAGATCAAGTCCAGTCCCCTGCTCTCACATCAGGACCAAGCACCGTCTAGATCATCCCTGACAGGTGCCCATCTCACCTGCTCTTAAATATCTCCAGTGGTGGAGATTCCACAACCCCCCTAGGCAATTTATTCCAGTGTTTTACCACCCGGCCAGGAAGTTTTTTCTTGTTCTATCCTCAGAGGCCAAGGAGAACAATTTTTCTCCCCCCACCTGGTAGCACCTTTTAGATACTTGAATGGCCAGTGGATGGGTATCTTCATCCTTAATTACCCCCTGCCTGTTAGGGCCACCCTGTCAATCTGGCCTCTACTTAGTACCAGCATGAAATTGGCATGCACACCACTGAGCCTGCATCTACGGGTCTAACTGCCCAATCTGTGCACAGTGCGTGCTGCAAAATGTGCAGATGGCAGGTTTGCATGCACAGCGTGGTATATGCCTAGATTTTGTGCATGCACCTAAGAGGAGCCTGGCTGGAAATTAAACCCTTCCTTAGTTGAGTGGAAAGTAAATTAGGATCTCAGAGGTCTCTGCTTTGCTTGACAAGGGTGTTATTAGGGAGACAAAGAAACAACCTTGTTTTACAATATAATTTGCATCTTAACAGCGCCCCTTTGAACATTCCGTTGGTGTAAATTGGTGCAGCTCCATTGACTTTAATGCAGGGGTTAGCTCGGCGCACGCGCTCTGATGCGAACCCAGGAAAAGACTCACGTTGCTCAAAGAACAGAGATCTACGAACTGATGAATCTTGTCCTCCACAAACCGCTCGTAGATGCCAATGCAAAACAGCACCTGCAGAAAGAGGAGGACACAGCTGTGCAGACGTTTCGCAGAGCACAGCCTGGGAAGCAGGACGATGTAACATTTATTTTCTTCCCTTCTTTCCACCTTTTTGGGAGCACTGGCTTTTGTCCTCCCCCCTGGCCCACAGGTCACAAGTTCAAATCCCACACAAGTATGTAGGCTTGTAGCCAGAACAGAAAGTCATTCCAGTGTTTCAGACATTAATGCCAGATTGGCTGCTGACCCAAGAGTTCTTTTCCTTCTCTAAACTCCATCATTCCTGCCACAGTGCAGGAGTAAAAGGAGCCTAGTTGAAGGTACCATCCTGCCAATAAAATGCCAAACTCTTTCTTCTGCTCATCTCTGGGCTGCGTAGGCCAGTGGAGATTAAACCCACACCCTCAGAAAAACTTTGATAACTGGCTGAGCCTCTCCCATCTCAAAAAGGGCCCGACCCTGGGTGTTCTTCGCTCCTTTCACACTCAGTTTCCCCAAAGCACGTCATCACCATGACTAGCAGAGAGTGACCTGCGCTATTCCCAGGGCCAACCAGAGAGAAGCGGCAATCCCGAATCGAAGGATCGGACTCCAGGCAGCCAGGTAGGTGTCAGCGGCAGGGTGCAAATTCAGGTTCAGATCTCGTGCTGCGATGTTCTTCAAGCCCACAACCTGGAATAAAAGCTGGTGGAGTAAATTGGAACCGCTTTGTGAGATGGGTTCGCTAGGGGCTGTGAGGCCTCTAAGCCCGTGGTAGGCAGGAATAAATAATAACTGATCGTGGGAAATCCTGGAAGTGTACTGTAAACTTGGACTATTCCCTTAATTCCTAACCCTTCTGCAAAAATCTCCAGCATGTAAGGCATGCAGGTTCCAGGGCACAGACAGGTTCCCGCTTTCTAAGCTCTTAGGACCAAATTTTCAGCCAGCTTCTAAATCAGTGCCCACAATTTTGCACACACCATTTTTTTCCACATGCAAAAACTCCCACATTTGCCTGCACAAATGGGGTGAGTAATTCATTGCCCGAATGAAGAGGTAGAAATTGCTTCTGGAAAGGGACTTAACCAAGAAACAGGATTCTTCCCTCGCTTCCCAAATTTTGCCAGGCTCTGCAAGGGCCATACTCAGTTTCATGCTACAGAGAATCACAACATCATACTCCTTAATTAGGACTGGATACAACAGACACAGCTTCCTCAGAGCCTAAATTCTGTCTTTGTCTCCTTTCCTTACCGATGATCATAACCGGGCTGACACGCTCTCCCCACGGCAAACAGAGACATCTCGTGGCTGCATGCTACAACTGCAAACCCATCTCATTCTACAGGGAGCAAGTCGCTGAGATGATGCTGATCCCTGCCTGGAAAGCTTTGTCCCAGGAACACTTTCCGCACCATTACAGATGGATGGAATTAAAATAGAGAGCATGTCTCATCCTCCCGGAACCCTTTGCCCAGTTGGAACCTCAAACAAGCCTCTATTTCCCCTCTGTGATCAGAGCTGCAGACTGACACATGGAGGGGTGGCAGAGGTTTTCCAGAGCTATAGTCTCAGAGAGCATCAGGACCATGGGTGAGTCAGCGCCAGATCCCAGAGGTTACTCACTTCCTCCAGGTGTCCCTCTCCCCGCTCCCAGGTACCTCCAGGAGCAGTAACACTGCGAACAGCTGGAGCGATGGATTTGATTTCCTACAGGTCTGCATCTCGTTCCACTCATTGGCTACCAGGAAAGTTCTCCAAATACTCACAGAGGAAGTGGCCCTCTGCCCTCCTAAGGGGAAAACAACACACTGATTTCAATTTGCTTTATTTTAAAAACCATTGCGGGCTTCTAAGACACAAAGCGCCGCACAGTTGGGTTTCCCCGAGCCTCACTTCTATTAATTTACTGCTCTCCATATGAAATCACGACAATCAGAGGTGAGCTGGCTCCCAAAATAGCCGCCTGCCAAGCTGCCCCTGATTTCCCAGAAGTGCGGAGGATCTGGAAGTGCTTTCTAAACACTAATTAGCCAAGTCAGCAGCCACGCAGAGCTGTGCTGTACAGCAGGGATTACGGGTTTCGAAAAAGGGGCCTCTCTCTTTCTGTGACTTTCGACAGCTTGGAAGGGATTTTCAGAAGCCGCTAAATCACTTAGGCAAAAGTCAATGGCACTTCTAAATCTCTTGCCCCCAGATTTTAAAAGTATGTAGGCCCTGCTGCAGTCAGGGCTGCCCGGCCCTTTCCTTCTGGGATCCACACTCCTCCTCCTCTTTTGAAAACGAGACTTTGACATTGCAGCTAAATGCCGGGGTGAAATCCTGGCTGTGGAAGTCAATGGCAAAGCTCTCATTGATCTTAATAGAGTCAAGATCTCGCCTAAGGTGAAACTGAGCACCTTAAAATAGAGGCAAGCCAACCGGGAACTTCTGAAAATCTGACCCAAAGGGGACGTCCACACGGCTGTTGGCATCAGAGCGATCTACATCAAAGCGAGCTCCGGTACCAGCAGTGTAGACACACACTGAGTGACTTCCTTGAGGTTTCCCAGTGAGGCCACCATCCAGCCAGGAATGGAACCCAGGAGTCCGGACACACCCCACCACCATGTCTCACTACACCGCATCACCTTCCCCTGCTTGCTAAGGGAAGAGGGGCCAATGAGCAACCCATGGATGGTTCAGCAACGCTGGCATTGTATAAAACCCTCCAGTTCTTGAAGCGGAAACCGCACGTGTGTGGGGCAGAAAGCTGTGCGCACACAGGGCCTGAGGTCTGTCAGGGTGGGTCACCGGCTGGCCTGGCCCTGTGCATGAAGTAGATCCAGATCCCCCTGGACTGGAACAGATGCGTCCAATCTGATCAGTTCGCAGGGTGGGGCAGCCGCTGGGGGACTCTAAAGGAGCTGGGGGATCAGAGAGGGGAAGAATCAGCCAGGAAAGGTCAGGAGAGTGCGGGGGGGAGGGGATGTCTCTGGGAAACGCTGCAGAGAGTTCTCTGCCGGCCCTCTCTGAATGGAGGAGGAATGATCAGGAAGCCAGTGAAGGGGCTGTCCTTCCTGAGCCAGAGAGCCCAGGCCAGAAACGGCTGGGAGCTGCAGAGAGAGAGATGACCATTGACTCTCAGAGCAGGGACACGGGGAGGGATGCCTGCAGCTGTATTTGGTGTATTGACTGACGGGAGGGAGAAGAGGGGGTTCTAGTACTGGGACTTGTTACATGCATGGGGCTTTCTTCTGCCATAAATTAACCCCACAAAGAAAGAGCGGTGGGACTAATTCCGGGGACTCATAGGAGGGAAACCGAGGCAGGTGTGTCTGCAACAGGAGGCAGCTCCAGGCAGGGCTGCTCTCTGGCAGGGTGGTTATAGGCCCAGAGAAGGAATTTGACCTGCAGTTGCTTTAAACACTGGCCTCTCCTTTGGCCTTTCCCAGTCTATCAGGAAGATGGAGATGGTCAGCTGGGTGATCAGGAGGTGAAGTAAGTCCACAGCCTGAAAGAAAAGCAGCCAGAAAAGTAGCCAGTCAGCATCTGTCTCACTCTAGCCAGGGCCAGCACAGGCAGGACCCCTTGTGAAGCCATTTCTTGGGGGGGGTGCTACAAAACCCACGGTGTTCTCCCACCTGCCCCAGACTGATCAGGAAGGAGAGGCATCCCTGGGGCAGTGGAGAGGTGCATGCAGCAAAGCCAATGCAGGTCATTACTGGAGTGGTGGCGAGGGAGGCGGGTGATGGAGCTCAGCACGTCCCAAACCACATGCCGCTGCAATACCAGAACTGCAACCTGCTGCCAGCCCTGGCTTTTGCAAAGGGATCCTGAGAGCTGCCCAGCAGTTCAAGCCAAAGGCCATGGCTAACTTACAGGCAAGCACCGCAAACCCGTGAGATTTCATGCCAAGAGGCTGTTTCCAGGCCTGTGGGTTTCAGAGAGGCTGGAACCGCAAAGAAAATGGCATTGCCCCAGTATTTTGGCTCCTAACGTCCCTTTAAGTGGGTTTTGAAACTCTTCTGGGACATGCTTTTCCACTCTCCAGTCCCACAACAGCCAGTTCTGCCCACTCCCACACACCCTCCTCCTTACCTTTAACACAAAAGCACAGGACAAGTAGACAATAAAGTTGGTTTCTATTTGACTGCCTGCCGCAGGCACCATAACGGTAACTGCTGACGACTGCTGACCCTGAGGGATGGATTTAATGTCTTTAGAGAGGAGGAGGGAAAAAATCTCATCCTTTCCTACAGATGAAGGCGGACAAAATCTGAGGTCACACTCCACCCACCAGTAGGCAACGGCTGCTCTCGCCCACAGTGGATTCCTCGGCGCTTTGTCTGTCCCGTTTTAAATATCCCAGGCAACTGGACTTCCATCACTTGCTGGGGGGAACCTTTCCACAATCCCATGCGTCTCCTTGGAGGAAGGAGACATCCCCTGGTTTCTTTATTTTGCGCCTGCTTCCACCCTCAACAATCTGACTCTCCCTATCCCCAGAGGCATATTAAAAATGCAGACCCCGGAGACTCAAAGAGTGTGTCTAGACTACACCTCTCTGTCGACAGAGAGATGTAGATTAGGCACGTTGAAAGTGCAAATGAAGCCGGGATTTAAATATCCCGCGCTTCATTTGCATAAACATGGCTGCCGCTTTTTTCGAAGCTGAGCTTTTCCGGAAAAAAACAAAAGACAGCAGTCTAGACACAGACCTTTCGAAAAATAAGCCCTTTTTCGAAAGATCTTGTAAACCTCATTTTATGAGGCATAAGGGATCTTTTGAAAAAGGGTTTATTTTTCGAAAGATCCGTGTCTAGACTGCTGTTTTTGTGTTTTTCTGAAAAAGCTCCATTTCGAAAAAAAGCAGCAGCCATGTTTATGCAAATGAAGTGCGGGATATTTAAATCCCGGCTTCATTTGCACTTTCAACGTGCCTAATCTACATCTCTCTGTCGACAGAGAGGTCGAGTCTAGACACACCCCAAGTGTGACTTGAAACCAACTCTATCAAGCACCAAATCAGGCCGATCTCAGTGAGGCCAGAAATAAGCCAAGAGGCCCCATAGCTACGAACTTAGCAGTCAGGAAAGAACAGGCAAAATGCATAAAGACACACAATGACTCACCTTGAAAACAATGAGCCAATAAATCCCGGTCCCCAAGGTGACCATGAAGAAGGCATTGGCCAGGGCGCCAGCAAAGAAGGCAAAGAACTTGACTAAAATCTGCGGAAGGAAAAGGGAAATGGACGAAGATTAGGAGAGACCCAATCTGTTGTATAGGTTGGCTTGACCCTTGACCTTTGCCCAGCGACCAGCTGCAGGAAGTTCGAATCTTTTTTTACACCCAGAAGGATCCCAAAGAGCTTTACAGATCCTGGGCCATTTCAGCATGGATCTCAACAGGCCTAGCGTCCGCTGACTTCAAAGGGAGCGGCACCCTGCTTTCACCACTGACAAATGTGGTCCTACACGTAGCAATCACTCCATGTTAGATCGAGCAGTTCCCTGAAATGCCTAATCAATAGCTGAGCAGCTTGCAGATGGCTTCATGACGTCATCTTAAAAGTGGCTGGATTGACCTCTCTAGCCCAGCTGTAGGATGGATTCAGGGAGAGTCAACACAGGTGCCTTTGTCCCAAAATGATATGGAGGAATTTCCACACACATGCACCCGAGTGCTTTCTATCCAAAGCTCTCAGGTGTATTATAAACATGAATGCGTGAAACCTCTGCCTCCCCGTGGGGTCGGTGTTATTATTCCCACTTTACAGAGGGCAAAACCGAGGCAGAGACTGGTTAGAGCCAGGAGTAGACCCCAGTGTTCTCACTCCCAGGTTTCAGCTATACCCACAGCTTTTAGCCCTGCCTTTGTGTCCCAGACCAAAGAGCAGTTCTCGGTGATCTCTAAGGAGACTGATTTGTGGGGAGGCTGGAAATCACAGGGAAGGGTAACCCTGCATACCTAGGAGAGCTGCATGGAAACAGGGCACCAAGCAGACCCACAATAGATGTATGCAGCAGGGGCAGAGGGAGTAGATGGTCTGAGGTGAGGGAACCTGGATACAACAAATCGGCAGAGAGGGAAAGGAGTCAGACAGCAGAGGCCACTTTGAACTGGATTCCAATCCGGATCAGATGCTGGTGGAGTTGACCAGAGTCATGAGTGTGATCCTGCTTCCTAGTGACAGACTAGTTCTATCTAGACGTATTAAAATCTAGTAGGTAGGGATGGAAGAAGACCGTGAGATGGAGAATTTGCAACAGGGCAGCTGGGAATTGGGGAGCCACTGTTAAGTATATTTGCAGCGCTGGGGTATTGGGCCACGTTCAGAAGGCAGCAACATGCAGCGTACAGGCACGTAGCCGGCACTTACAAACTCTTCCTTACTATGAAGCCTATATTCTGAAGTCTAGACCTCCGCACCCAACTGCTGGTCTTCAGCAAGGCGTACAAGGCTGCCAGGGAGCCCAGGACGGCCAGCGCGATCTGTCAAAGAGAGACGTTAAGTGTGTCGTTCTTTCCAGAACTCAGAAGAGAAGGCAATTGGCTGGAGGGACGGAATCGCAAACCTCAGCTGAACACCGTGGGTGGGGGGTGAACGCCCAGCAGGGAGAGGCAAGCCCTAGCCCCGCCCCTTCTGCCTGAAGCCCCACCCCTTCCATAACACATCCCTCAAATGCAGCCAAGCCTTGCCACCATGGCAGCAGCCGGCCCTCCCCCCCAGGATACTGCTCCCAGCCCTGACCATCCCCTGACCCCTTAGTCTCCCTATTCCCAGACGGTGGTGCAGCCCCATCCTTCCCAGCCTGCTGAAGCGACTAATGGCCAGAGACCTGGGCAGCCGCGTCGCAGCCCGATCCTTCCTGGCCAGGTGGAGGGCCAGGCAACTGCATCATGGTTCCAGCCTGGCCTGTGTGGCCAGAGCATGGGAAGGCAACAGCTTCCCCGGCCTGCTACCTGCAGCCCGTGCTGAACACTCACTCCTCAGGCGGTCTGGCTACTTGGTCATAACGGTCCCTGTTCTGGCCTTAAAATCGATACATGTGGGAATAGGGCCATGAGATGGCTACAAATCTAACCTGCCCTGGCTTCTTTCACATGCATGAGACCCATGCACACACGCCTCATCATGCCGTATCTTGTGTTGGAGGCTAACAGCTCCTCTTCTACTAAAACTACTGCGCTGTCAGGTCCCCGGTCTGCTTATCACCCAGATCCCTGCTGGCCTCATGTGGTCTCCTAACTGGTCGCCACGGCCGCTTCCTTTTTTTATTTCTTTAAGGCTGAACCCACGCAGCTCCCCAAGTCTTTCCACGTCCGTCCTTTCCTTCCTGCCCAGAACTGCCTCATTGTCTCCTCTGGACACTTTCCAACCTCCGGGTAGCCCGTGGCCCCTCGTGCAGCATGTGGGACTGACCACTACTCACATCGGTGTCGCGCTGAGACGTCCCAGGACTCTGCGTGTATGACACTGTGAACGAGATCTGCCGGGGAGAGAGAGACACCAGTGAGCAAGGGAGGCAGCAGCCAGGCAGCTTTGGACGGGAGCTGCCCAGGAGTTCCAAGAGTGACTTGTAATTTGAGGGGGAGAGGGGGTTCCATGATGCAATTTTCAGAAAGTGCCGGGCTCCTGGTGATGTAGTGGGGGGGCTGTCTGCTCTGTAACCTGGGATCCCCCTGCGCTGTGATGTGTGATTCCCTCTGATTCACCCAAATGTATATTAACCCAGACTCCTAAGCTCAGCCTGAGGAGATAAAGGTGTCAGGGGAAGGATCAGTTGCTGGCTGGAAAACATGAAAGGAACAACCTAAGGTGAGGGGGGAGAGTGGGGAAATGGACCCCTAACCTCAGGGATCTGAGGCATCCTGGCCTTGACTCCTGTAACTACATCACATCTGTGCTGTGCAATAAACCCTCTCTATTCTACTGGCGGCCAAGGCTGTTCTTGCTGCTGCGGGATCAAGGGGAACCCTGACGCATCATCACACTCCTGGCCTCTGAACATCAGCTTTGTGTTGGGTTGTGCACCGCCGAACTCCCTAGTCACTTGGGAACGCCTGGCCTGGATGTGAGCGCCAGACCTGGCAGTCCAGCCCTGTGTCTATCGGAGTAGGGAATGGCCTGGCAAAGTCCTGATGGAAACAGGCTGCCGCTACTGCTTGCAAAGACCCCGTCTACAATGGCCAACATGCACCCTGGCGGCAGTAGCTGTAGAGTAGGTAGGACACGGGGGCTGTTGTCTGGACCAGCTCAGCACAAGGTTAGCCATCACCATGGGAAACATTCCAGAGCCTGCCTCAGCATGGTTACCGCCTGGGGAGCTGCCTCTGGGGAATTCTGTATGGTGGGTGTTACAGTAGTGCCAAG